GATCACCTACAATTCCTACGGATAAAGGAATAACAAAATATGGTTAGGGAAAAAAGAATAATAAAATATATTTTTTCAAAAAAATCACTGTTACGTGTTGGGTGAAGTAATTGCAGTTGGAATCTTTGCCAGCCCGTAATTAAGTCAAAATTTAATCATGTGCTGACACATCTGCTAGTTAATGCGTATGACTTGCGAGTAATTTCTCATGAGTCATGACCAGTTTTTAACCATGATTTTAAAAATTATTTTATAATATCAAAAATAAATATGTAAAAAAATTATTTTAATTTATTTGAAAATATTTTTAAAAAGTATTTTTTGAGATTTTCAAACACTATCAAACCAAAAGTAATATCATTATGACCGTGTTCATTTCCTATTTATAAACCTAGACTATTAATTACAGAAACATTCATCATGTATGCCAAAAACATATCATTGATTATTTCACAAAATACACATCTTAATGATTTTAGATGCAGTGTGATCTTATATATAAGTGGGTATTTAATGATGATTTGAAGGAATGTGTTTATCTCAAAGTCTTATATGCAAATATTTAAAAAGTGAATAAAAAAATTTTCTCCCAACTCTGATTTGTATTCCATAAAATTGTTTGTATTTAAATAAACACATCATCAGTCTACTAACAAATTTAACAAAAATCTTGTCAAAAAAACAAATTTAACAAAAATGAAGCGTAATCGAGTGTGACTGGCTGATTTTTTATGACCAAAACTCTTGTTCTCTCGAGAGAGTTGGGACTCTTCGTTCTCAATTCATAACTTACGGTGTTAATTACAGAAACATTAATGTGTACCAAAAAAATCACTGATTATTTTAAAAAATGTTCATGCACCATAATGTTTTTAGATACAGTGTAATACTGTAATCCATATAAGTTGGTATTTAATGATCTACAAGGACATGTTCACCTCATAATTTTGTGCGCGCGTAGATGAAATAATTTCTCTGGTTCCTAATACATGAGCTAGTTGATTAATTTGAGTGGATTAAGAAAATTAGTTATGTTAATTATTTAATAGAAGATAGAAATAAACAGAATTCAGGCTATAAACACAGCAAGGTGGGACCGTGCGAGTATTTGAAGAAAGTTCTGCCGTGAGAGATTTGATTCATTATGAGATGGTCAACTTTCAATGTGGATAGTTTATTTTCTTTAATACAGAATGATGCAAATTAAATCAACGGCAACATCCCCTCGTAACAGAGAAGAGAAGATAAACAAAAGGATAGTCTCTGTTCACGGACCTTCAAGCATCATTGACTCTGCATCTGAAACAGATAAAGACGGAAGAATCCCAGGACGAGTCCAGCATGGAACTCAACTTGGATGCCTCAAATAGAATTCAAAACTATACTGATAAAGCCGTCGCTTTCAAGTATGGATCCCTGAAAATGATGCCCATGAGGCAGCGTCCCGTCACCACCAGGTTCTGTGCGGGAAAGCAGTTGCCTGCCAAAGTTGGCGTTGTATATACCAGCAATACATGTACATATAATTTATGCATTAATAAAATATCTACATTTAGTCTGATTTTTCCATGTGATATATATAAAAATACCTCATGAATTTTAAAATAATAAATAGGTAATTTTAACAAATTTTAGCTTATTAGAACCATTACAAAAATAATTAAAACTATTACAAAAATATTCACCCTGACCTACTTATATTTTTAAAACTCAACAGATATGTTTATGTCATTTTCTCCATATATATATATATATATATATATATGTAAGGGGTGATAATTAAAACTTTACTGAAAAGAATAAAAACGTGTTCATGTTCTTTCAAATATTTTCAATTCACTGAATGCAGTCAATAATTGCAAACATACGATAGCTAACACACGTATGCACCTACCCCGCCATTAATACCTGACCAACGAACCAAGCTTTCCATCTGTCCCATAATAATAAACACATATTTGCAATCTAGGGGGTTTGAAACGCTAAAAAAACATTTAAAAATATGTTTTTACATAAGTTGAAATAAAATTAGTTTCACATATTTATCTCAAAATCCGTAAAGTATGGCTGTTAAAAAAAAAACACTTGTACATGACCAACGAACCAAGCTTTCCACTTGTTCCATAATAATAAACATATATTGGCAATTTAGGGTGTTTGAAACACCAAAAAACACATAAAAAGATATTTTTATGTAAATTGAGACAAAAACTGTTTTCATGTGTTTATTTCAAAATTTGTAAAGTAGGACTATTAAAAAGAAACTCAATCCAGTCTAACTTGAAAAAAAAAAAAAGCAACCCAAACAAAAGAAAGGGAAAAAAAAAAGATTGGACCAAACTGAACTGGTCATCGGGTCAAAACCAGGTTTTGGACTGGCCTTGAACCCTCTCTCTCGTCCATCCTCAACTCCATCACTCCATTTGCTATAGAAGACGATCAAGGGAGAAGAAGACATCTTCCAAATCTACTAGTATATTGAGCGAGAAGAAAGCATCTTCTAGATCTATTGAGCAGCGCTTCTTGTAGTAGAAGAAGATTGGGAATGCACTTGACTGACTTAAACAGAGCTATGGAGTCTGCGCAAGAGCGAAGGACGTGCCGGGTGTGATGATTTGTTAGGTTCTTCTTCTTTTGCCTCTTTTGCTTTCTTTAATTTTTATATTTGCCTCACAGATTGAAATAAAAAAGTAGTTTCGAACTAGACTTTTGGTTAAGACTGAACACGATCTAGTCTGGTTTTTGTGCAGTCCTACCGCCAAGTCATTTATAAACAGCTAATCAAAATACCCCATTATAGCTGCGAAATAGGAATGGCTATTTCACAAAATGTACTTCTAAATAATTACTCCGCAGATCCTATACCTGTCTACGTGAAGAAAAAATCGTGTAAGAAGGGGATTCTTATTTGGACAAATGGTGCATTGATATGTCATCCAGGAGTACCTCTCCTCCTAAATTGCCGGAGCTGACCAAATTCACCTCCTCAATCTCTTAGCCTCTCGTTATCTCATCAAGTTCAGGGTTTCATCTGATATCCAATCTCCATTAAGAAGGCAAAGGCTCATCATCGCCAGACTCTTTAGTTTGACTTAATCGAGCCTACACGAAGAACGAAAATCCTTCTTCCCACATCACACAAATCGTGTGATCATCGCCAACTGATGTCCCCCACATCATCTTCCTTTTCTCTCGGGTTCTTTCAAAACCATCCCACCATCAAATGCATCAACCGAGCATTGAAATTTTAACGGAGAATGAAGACTTTAAAATTATTTTTAATTGTAGGTTTTACGTACATCTCGGCCAAAAAATTATGTAGGTTTTAAAGTTTTAACTGTAAACAGGTTTCTCCTTTTATACTAACTTCGCCACGGGGCGTTTAATTTTCACTTCCTTCATGTTAAAATTTGATATTATGTGTTCACAATTGCTTCAAATGCAAGTTAAAGCAAGAGAACAATAAGAGAAAAAGAATCGCATTGAATGAGACTTACAAATATAATATGAGACCAAAGTAATCTAGACAAACATAGCATATCAAATATTTAAAGGAAAAAAGTGCTACGATATGTAATGAGCCAAGTAAGCTGACCAAGTGATGGCGAATTGGGGTGAATACAGCTAATGAAAAGTATCCAATTGAAGTCCGGCCTGACTTGTGTTACTTAGGGAAAAAAGAACTGAAATTTGAGACTTCAACCAAACCTATTCACTTAAATGAATCGGACTTATCTACTTTTAAAGCCCCGTTGAAAGCGCACATAGCCTGTTTGGCAATACGATGAAACAATAGTTTGGATCCCAAATTTGCAAACAGGAAGAGAAATTAACAAACTACAGTTTTGAGCTCAAAACCATGATTTTAAAAGAAATGAATCTATTATGTTTCTAGTTCAAATTAAAGAGCATGATTGTGTCTATCAGAGTAGATCTTAACGATAATATGACTTTAACACATCTCAAGTATTTTTTTAAAAACATATTTAATATTATATTTTATAAATATATATACACACACATTAATTATTTATTAATGATATTATCTTATATATTATTAATTACGTTGGTAAAAAATATATTATTAACAATTTTATTCCTTTAAATTAAAATATATTATAAAATCTATCTTTTATATAATTATCATATTAACTTATGCCTTTTTTAATTAATAATTTGTACATATAAAAAGTGCTTCTAATAACAACTATTCAAACACTATTATTTTATCAGAATCACTTTTTCACAAAATATATTATTCACAAAATCTATTCTCGAAACTATAATTTGGTTCATCCAGACACCTCCTTAGTCCATAATTATCATTTCTCATGTTTTTCATTACGCATTTTATCATTTTCCATGTGTATTTATTTGCAGCATATGTATTCAAATACTACATTCGGTCCTAATTATAAGACCTAATTGACTAATTTGAGGAGATTAATGAAAGAAATTAAGTTAATTATTTGTAATAAATATATGTTGTCTTTCCTAAAGTATCCTTGCTAATTAAGTGTATTGATTATAACTACCATTGTTAGAGGACTATTTTGGAAAAAATATATAAATATGATAGACGGAGTGGATTGAGATCTTATATTTAGAACTAAAATAAAAATCAAACAAGATCTTATATTAAAAATCGGAGGTAGCAGTAAGTTAAAATACTGTCTATGCAATTTACCTTAATCTTAAAATCTTAAAATTCATGGATAATATAATATTCAAACAAACATTGTGGCAAAAAAAAAAAACACAAACAAACATAGTTATTGTCAATTAAGATGCACAAAAGGAACAAATGGTCCAAATTTCAGCGCCACATTATGAGAAGCTTATCCAAATCTTCCGCGGGACGACTTAGTCAAAACGATGGAAAATTCAAGAGTCAACTTCCGAGTTGTGAGTCGCAACTCACGACTCACATTCGGCCATTCGGGTCATGGTCATGGACTGGGTACAACGCCTCGGCCAGAGGGTATTCTCCTTTTCCCTACACATCGAATTCTCCTCCAAATCACAATATTTCCAACCTCCATCATCTCAGCTAAGACGAAAACCTTCTTTCGCACATAAGCCCTCTTGTGAGCCAGCCAGCGAGGGAGTGAGAGAGAGAGAGAGAGAGAGCTGAGAAATGTCTCTGAAGCCGTCAGTTCCGACGGAGAACATGGCGCTGCCGGTTACCGATCCTGCAAAGGATCAGGATGGAGGGAAGGTCTTCAAGGGCGACGAGAAGCTTTTCAATGGTTCCGCCATGACTAAACGAGGAGCCTACGCTGCAATCTCTTACATGTCCTGCGCTGGTACATTCATCAACTTTCGTTTTGGTATTTCTTTATGCATACGTTGGCAATCTTAGAAGCTCTTTATCCACCTTGTGTCTTCGAGTAATCCTAAGTTCCTCGTATCGATTACGGAGGATCGATTTTCACCTGGAAGGTTGGAGTTGCATTGATATTTAAAAATGTCTGAGTTTAGCGTTTTAATGCCTCAGTGTTTGAGTTCATTCAAGGGTGGTATTGGATAAGCGTAGAATGGAAGAAACAAGTGATAGCAATCCTAAGAAAATTTGAAAGGAAAATCAAGTAATGAGTGAGATGTTAAAAAAGAGCTCTAGCAGACTCTTACGTGACTGGATTATTAGAGTTAAAGAGCATTGTTCCCTGGGGCATGTGTATATGATTTTGTGCTCCCTTATTGCAAACTGTAAGGAATATGCTACACGCAATAGCTGGAAAGATATTTTCAGGAGTTTCTTTTAATGCATAATCTAGGTTGAAAAAGTGCTGAGAGATCCATCTTTGCACACCAAACTTGGATAATTCTTTGTTTTTAGCCCTCCCTCTCCTTCTTACAATCAGTTTTAGGACATAATGTAAGTAAACACGACCAATTTAAGGACATGATGTTATGAAAGGGAACTCGTCTGAATTATTTTCCATGAACTGGAAGAGAGTCAAGTGTTATTTCCACCTTCTTAATTCCACTCTCTTCTTGCTATTTTTCTTTTGTAACGTGTGTTACTTGTCATATGTATGCTCTCCATCTAGGAGAATACGGCATTTTGCTCAGTTGCTTATCCATTTCTGTTTTTTGTTTCTTAGTGCTTTTGGTGCTGTTCAATAAGGCAGCTCTTTCATCTTATGAGTTCCCATCTGCAAGTTTCATCACGCTTCTTCAGGTTGATCTTTACAGAATTTTCTCTTTTGTCTTTTTTCTGTAAGTGAATGCATTTTATAACATTCCTAAGGCAAATTACATTATTTCGTTATGTCCTTGGGACATAGTGATGCATACTTAAAACCCCAACCATCTCTTTCTATCTCTATCCGTCTTCAGAACCAAGCCAAACTTTACAAAAAAAACTTGCAATATTCTGCTCTTTGTATGTTTCTTTGTATAAACAATAAAAAACATTCAATTTCAACAATAATTCTAGGTTGGTAAATGACTCCATTCTTGGTCCTTATTCCTAACTTCTCATTCCTTGAAGATAGAATGCCATATAAGTTAATACTGTTGTTTCAAAATTGCATTCATGACTGCTGTTTATTCCTTTTCTTCTTTCTCCTGTCCGTTTGCTCGATCTTTTCCTCTTCCCCCTTTGGTCTTTTATTTCTTCTCTTCTCTCTGTTAGTCATCTAACACTTCTGTGTCAATTATTGTCAAGCAGAGTCTATATTGTAAGAGTTGGAGTTCCTTAAACGAAGTTTTGAGGGATTATTCAACTTGGTTAAGCCAAAATGCTAGTGTTCTGCAGTGCCAACACTTATATTTCCCGTGTTGGCCTTTCATTTTGAATTTAATTGACACTTTTTAAAATTCCAAACGTTGTCTTTGCTTCCTCCTGCTGCAGATGGTCTGTTCTTGTTGCTTGCTCTATGTATTGAAGCGCTGGAGGATAATTTCATTCAGAGCAGGTGAATCTTTGACTTCATCTGATACAACAAAATTTGTATCGCTGAAGACTTTGAGGCACACTCTTCCTTTGGCTGGGACATATTTATTCTACATGGTATTTTCTTCCTTCCCTTTGTTTAGAGGACAAATCCTTGATCCTTGTTCATTTTCTACTTGTTGATTATTTCATATTTAATTGAATTATGTATTTCACCTTGAAAGATAGTCACCATGGAATCTGTTCGTGGGGTAAATGTCCCAATGTATACCACCCTTCGGAGAACCACAGTGGTGTTTACGATGCTTATGGAGTATATTCTGGCAGGGCAGAGATATACATCCTCTGTTGTTTTCAGGTAAAGTGTTTTCTCTCCAACGCATGATGTGACTGACAGTCTGTCGTATTTCATATCAATGAATTTTTGACTCTGAAATTTGGATGACATACCGAAGATATATAATTTATTGAACTTCATTGTGGTTGAGGAAATAATCAACTGTCTCACATAGATTCAATTTCTAGTTCTTTGGGTCTTTGCTACCATTTATTATGGGACTGTATTGTTTGGACAGGTGTGATGGAAAAGGTTTTTCAAAACTTGGTGATGATAAAAGAACAAATTAGGTTAAAAGGTGCATTCATGCAGATGTATATTTCAAATATGAAAGGAATCTGATGGATTACTTTATAATTGATGCCTTCTTTTGCAAGTGGCCGTATTGAGAAAACTTTTGGCCCTTGGCATTTGTTGAATGAAATATTCACACGCTAAAGAGTCATTAAACTTTGTGAAGTTGCTAGATGAAAAAAATGGTGAATTCTAATATTATGATGTTCGAATCACAAGAATAAATATTAGTAATGAAGGTAATTAGTTGATGAACTTTATCACATGATGCAAATCAGATACTTTGATTGAATATTTGTTGTAGCACTTCTTTAGTTGTCTGCTTTCCACGTTTCACTTGTGTTGTTGATTGTATAGCTCGAGTTAAAGAATAGAAGTTAAGATACAAAGTGTCCAGAGGCTTGGTGTATGTTACTATCTAACATATGATGGTGATGTATGTGGTCTAATGTAATACCACCTCTGGTCCTAAATACACCCGATTATGGTGGGGGCGTAGCACATCATGCTCACATTCAATAGTTCCTTTGTGTATCAATTTATTGGGCAATAGATGGAAAAGAGATTTGACTTTCATGCATGTTTGACGGTAAACTTAGCATATGAATTTTATGCGATATTTTAGACTCTACGTAAAATGCATGCTTGCCAGTAAACTTGGTATATTCGCTGATAAGCATCCCATGCAAAATAACGTCATAGGTTAATTGCTTTTTCACCTTTTATTTTCTCAACAACGCCCCTCCCCCCAATTTTTTTTTTAAAACAATAAAATCAAGACTAAAATTTTGAATGTTGATCTCCCTGATTTCTTCACTTGACTGAAATTTTTAAGGTTGTTATCAGTGTTGGCCTGATTGTCTTTGGTGCATTTATTGCTGGAGCACGGGACTTATCTTTTGATGCTTATGGCTATGCTGTTGTTTTTATGTCAAACATTAGCACAGCAATATATCTCGCAACCATATCTCGTGTAGGTTGTATTCCTTTACTTTCACTCTCTCACATAAAGTGGGAATTTATACTGTTCCCTTTTAGTTATTTTGACAGTTCCATATTTGTTTGTACTTTTCTCAGGAAAAACCAGTGGTCTTAATAGCTTTGGCCTTATGTGGTGCAATGGTAAGCTGGTTGATTCTGTGAAATGGCCTTTAAACTTTCATTATACTTTCTGCTTTATGGGAATTGTGGTTCATTTATTTTCTTTTTCTGATTTGCGATACTTCTATTGTATTATTCTAGGTATAATATGTGGACCAGTTTTGCTTATTTGGACATTCATTCGGGGTGACATGAAGATGGCAATCGATTTCCCCTACCTTTTTTCACCTGGATTCCTTGTAAGTTCTGCTTCCTATCAGATTTTTCCTCATTTGATTTCATGGCACCAGTCACCCTTGGTTATTGGCCAGACGAACATAGACAGTGCATTGTTAGAAAGCTAACCAGAAGTTTGGCACCCTCTGCCTACAGTAAATGATGTGACAGACTATATCAAATCACGCCTCTTGTAATTTGGTAGTTCGCACTTTGCCTTCCATGGTTATTTCCATTAGCAGATTGCCACCTGGAGTCCTTGAGTGATTTTCCTCAAATATTATAACAGAGAGATAGCATAATTTTGTTTACAGAATAAGCTATGTGGGGGCTAAGTGTGAAGGGCCCGATCTGAATATTAAAAGGCCATGTGGCCATTATCTGTACATCTCTAGCAGTCTATAACCACTAGATCATCACCATCTTAATTTATATTCTTAAATAAGGTGAGAAATTTTTACTCATATCCTGTGCAATTGCAACTATGTTTTCAGCTACTAGAAAAGTCCGCATTCTTAATCATAAAGTGAGATGGCCTTCTTTATTATCAACCGGTTTCTTGTTTTATGTCTACTTTTCTCTTATGCATTGCAAGGTTGTAATTTTAACATGCATTTTTTTTCTGGGCAGGTCGTGTTGCTTTTTTCCTGCGTATTGGCTTTCTTCTTGAATTACAGTATTTTTTTGAACACAACTCTAAATTCAGCCGTGACACAGACAATTTGTGGTAATCTGAAGGTTAGTTTGCTAATTTAACTGCTTTTCCTTCTATGTATGATGCATCAATTCTTCCAAGTTATTGATAATGCTCTAAGGCCTTTTTTATCTGAGTTTTGACGTTAGTGAATACTGCGTAGCTTTCTTGTTGCAAGGATTATTTGTGAGGCAGGAACTTTACAGTGTTCAGTGAGAGGGAAATCTAAATATAGGGCAACAATATGGTTTGTTGGGATTTTTTTTAAGCGAAGAAATTGATTTAAATTGGTGAATTTCTTGGTTCACCTTCCTGTATTGTCGAGTTTGGTTTTTTTTATGATGATTCAAAAAATGAATAATTAATGGAAAACTATAGCTTAATATTTTAATATATGTTTCTTCATCAACATGCCTTAGTTGTGATACTTTAGCGACTGTGTGACTGCTCATCTCTTATCTGCAAAGTTATCCTGTAAATGTTCAGAATTAAATAATTCCCCTTCTTATTTCTACTATATTGTCGTCCAGGATTTATTTACCATTGGCCTTGGCTGGGTACTTTTTGGTGGGCTACCATTCGATGTCGTGAGTACTCTTTTCTGATCAACATTCTCTTGCTAGCCGGGTGTACTCTACTGTTATATTTTTTTCTTCTGTTCTGTCGTATGATAGTTTATGTCTCGTTTTGATTGCAGTGGAATGTTATTGGACAACTTCTCGGTTTTGCCGGCTCTGGATTATACGCCTACCATAAGTTGATTGGCAAATAACATGCTCAATTACCATATAGCGGATCTCTTTCACGGTGAAGGCCGGCCTTAAAAAAATTAAAGAATCTGAATTGAAGTCAGATCTGTCAATTTTGCATAATCTGGCAGGCTAATCCGAACTCCTACTTTGCATGGTGAGAATTTGGCTGGCCAACATTTTTCGTCGGGGATCAAGACCTGCCGTCGTTTTAGTAGTAGCGTGGTCACCATCTTTTATACGCCTTTTTTTTTTCTTTGGGTTTGTATTCCGATACCAACTTGCTATGTGCATGCTAGAACTGTTAACTCCGGTGAGGGAAGTTTGGCCATGGGAAATAGTTTACCGTAGCCCGAATGGTTCAATGTGCGGGGCAAGAGGAGGGGGATTAGGCCGACTTCCTTATTTATCTCGCGCTCGTGCTGTATCTATTCCCTAGGGAGCTTCAAGACAGAACATGGATGAGAAGCTGATAATCTAGTGTATTGTTTTTTAGAATGAGAGAATCGATCTGTTTACAAAGTTTCATATCCTTCGTCGTTATAGGATGCTCTCACAACATAGCTCATTGATAACATGCCAACGGTTGTTTGGAAGAGTGACCCGCAGGGCAACAGACTCGCAGAGGCTGTCAAAAATGAAATTATGCTACTCTGAAAATCTTGAAAAGGTAACAGACTCTAACTGGACAAAAGTATTCTACATTATTTGATACAATATACACAACATATGGCACAATGCAGCATTGAACCTTGACTGAAGATCAGGAGACGCAAAATAACACTCCCCCACGACATACGCTAGTTTACGGGAACGACGCCAGCCTCCCTCGCAAGCTCCTCAGTCAAAGCCGAGAGTCGAGCAATTCCCGTTTTCACCTCTCTAAAAGCTTCAATGTCGTCGATAGCAAAGTTATTTGTTAACACGGGGATGGGATTATCGACCTCAAGACTTAGGCCAGCCTTATTCAAGACTTGCCCACTCATTTCTGCAAGTTTATAGAGAGCAGTGGTGGCGGCTTCTACTTCAAGCTGTGCTGCCTCAAGCTGAAGCTTCTCAATAGCCAGGTCTCCGATGCTTTTGTCACCAATTCTCTCCTGAGCCAAAGCATAAAGCCGTTGCAGGTCATTAGCATCGTCATTCAGCTCTTCCCTCACTTTCTTCAGCTCTTGCTCTTTTGCATCCAATCTTGCAAGAGTCATTTTGAGTTCCTCGTCTTTTATAGTTAGATCTCTCTGTGCAGCAAGAACTTCCATTTCCTTTGTTTTCAAACTCTCTTTTGTCAATTCGAGCTCTTTCTCGAGCTGCTTTTGACGCCACCTGAATTCATCATTTGTCTCCAGTAATAGTTGCAGTGGTTCACCTGAATCTGGTAATCTCGAAGAGTTCTCTTCAACGTTGATGGAATTGACCAGTGTTTTTGTGAGTTCAAGGATTCGCTCTGCCACAGTTTCAGCCTCAGAAGCCTTCAACTTAGTATTATTTAACTCATTCTGTATAATCAGCACGTTCTCATCTTTATCCCTTAGCATATTGGTTGCTTGAACAAGTTGTGTTTCTTTACTGTCCAGAAGCATCTTTAGATCAGCAATTTGCTGGTTTACCTCGTCTAACATCCTCCTTGCATTAGAAAGTTCCAAGTCTTTCTCCTTCAAGGTAACCTGAAGCGAAGCCTTTTCTGATTTCAAATGTTGGATTTCTAGCTTAGCATCCACGAGCTCCGACTCCTTTACGCAAAGAAGGGCAGTTGTTTCTCTGAATTCGGTACTATTTTGATCCAATCTCTCTTGAAGCAATGACTTATCTTGAACTGCCCACTCTAGGGAAGCTCTCTCTTTCTTCAATTGTTCCTGTAACTCCTTCACAAACTCTTTTTCCATGGCCAAATCCTGTTCAATTTCTTTTTTCTCTGCCTCTGCAACCTTGAGTTTCACTCTCTCGCTATCCACTTCTATATGCGCCAGCTTTAAGCTTTCCGTGTATGAAACGAGACTTTCCCTTTGTTCCGCAAGTTCAGCAAGCTGTTGCGCCAACTTGCTCTTGTTCTTCCATTTTCTTTCTAGAAGATGCCAGTGATTGTTGAGAAGAAACTAATTCAGACCTTACAGCATCAAGAAGAAGCTTCACCCTTTTGAAATCTTCACTGTTTCATTACTCTCCTGTACCCGTATTGCAGCTTCTTCACCAAGTTTTTTAAGTTCTTCCTGTGCTAACAACCACTCTCTTGCCCGCTTTTCCAAGGCGCCTTCTTTTTTCTTCAAAGCTGTCAGTGCAGCCTGAAGATCTGACTCCAGGACTTGAAGGTTAAGCCCAAGCTGAACATCTTGATCAAGATGAAATTGGCCAGTCATCTGTTCTTCCAGCTTCTGTGTCTGCTTAAACAACCTCTCAAGAAGGATCCTTGCAGATTCAGCTCCTTCATAATCGTTGATGCCCGACTTCTTGTCATTTAAGATTGATTTAATAGGCTTAAATAAATAGCCTTTTTGATTTCTGATTGACACCAGACCATTGGGCTATGCTTCCAATTGAGCCTTAGAGAGCATAACTGCACGGAAACTTTAACCGTTTTAGATAAAGATTCCCATGGGAAACCAATCACCATTGAATCAAATGCCCAAGCTTCTTTCAATCTTATTTGTTATGAATTCTCAAAAGATATTTTCAGTTAGCGTTTGCTGTCATGAAGTTTAGTTACAGTTTGTGAAGGAAGAGATTGTAGATAACAAAAAATCCAAAGCCTACTCGCAGAGAAGTTCAGTAGGTGTTAAAGAACGTAACTGACAAAATACTTTGGATGAAAAATAGAATCATCAGAGTTTATCAAGTCCTGAACAAAAAGATTAAAAAAATTGGACTAGAGTCTGCAAACTATGGGAGACTGATTTAGTCAGGATACCTCGCTTGTATTCTCCTCCTAGCTAAAGAAATTCGATACCTTATTCTTTGAAGGATGATATCTGAATGAAAGTTGAAACTACTACCAATTTAACCTACATATGCATACTTAACGATCTATATGTAGCGGCCATTAAATGAAACTAATTCCAGTCACCATCCTAACGTTGACAAAGTTAAAGTCGACTTTCAAATCTAGCACATGCTCTTATATGTTAAAAAGTGAAAGTGATTATAAAGCCTACAGATGGAGGATTAAGTAGATTTCCCGAAACTAAAACAGAGGGGTGTGTAATTATTTAGCCATGGGCAAAACTAAGGACATGTCAATAAGTATCAATACTTTTTCCTATTTATCCAGTAAGCTGGGATCCGGAACCGATTAACAAAATTTCGTATGTCGCAAATCGCAGCCGCAGCGATGTGAAGTTCAAACGTCGAAAATGGAGGAGACAAGATTTGAGTTAAGAGTAAATCACTCTATGAAATAGTTGAAGAGTAAATAAACGGCACTGATAGCTCTGAGTTTTTGTGGAATATCTAAAGCAGCTCCGACAAACATTAAGAGTATACAAAGTGAAGATTTGAAAACTGAAACAGCTACAAATAAACATGTAAGTAGCAGAGAGATAACCTGGGCGTGGCGTTGGGAAGAAGTGGCTGGAAAACGAAGGCGTATGTAGGAAGAAGAAGCCATACATTCTGGTCAATCACCGATCGAAGAGTGATCCACAAGCGTTCGTCCAGGTCACAAAGGGAAACAGAATCATCGTTGTCGACGGAAGATAAGAGAGGAAGAGAGAATCTGGGAGGCCTGAAAATAAAAGAGGCAAGGAATGGAGGGAAAAGGGGGGGCGCAGAACGCTAACGTGCGCTGCCAGCGGTAGGTTAGGCACAGATTAACATACCGAAACTTGTTCTTACGTGTCATGATGAGCAAACATGCTGGAAAAAAAAATTGAAACGGACAAGGAAAGTAAAAAAAACAAGGAAAAAATAAAAAAATTACTAAATATCAAATAAAAAATATTAACAAAAATTTAGTATTATTATTATTTGTAAATTTAGTATTATCAATACTAAATAAAATATTATTACTAAATCTAATTAGGATTTAGTAATTTTTATGTTCTTTTTTTTTTGTAATTTAGATTTTAGTTCTTTAAATTTTAAAATATAAGTTTGGATTTTTTAAAAGATAAAATGGTTCAAGTTTTTATTAGATTATAAAAACTAATATTTTAATAAAAATAAATTTAAGAAACTAAAACTTATGATTTAAAAATTAAAAATTAAAACTAAAATGAGGTTAAATTTGAATGATCAAGGTTTGTAATCACCTTTTTTGAATTTTAAAATCACATGTCATTCTTAATTTATAATTTAAAAAATTTTAAAGGTATTTTTTGAAGATTTTTATAAATAATAAAATAAAAAAATTTAATTTGAATCTCAATCCACCAATTTAGTGTTTTAAATATTGATAAAATATTTATGTATTTTTGTGTCAACAAATATTTACGTATTTATATAATATTAAGACTATAAAAAATAATAATAACAATAAAGATAATACAGTACAAGCGGAAGGAGAAGGATGATTAAAAAAGATGATTTGTACCAAAAAAAAATTGATTGAAAAGGATGATGTCGTGGGATTTCATAAGGCAACGTCTTGCGTTTTGGAGGATGTGGAGGTTCCATGAAACACGTGGAGAGTGCTCCACGCCGCTTCACAGCTCCATTTCACATTCACGGCTGCTTTTGGCTCCATGCGTGTCAAATTACCACTTTATCCTCCATCTTTTCAAGCATAATATCATTAATGATTGATTTATCTTTTGAATCCTGTTAATGGTGATGGATGATAGCGGATATAACCTGGTTCGCACATCTCACATTACCTTGTAAGAAGCAAATAATGCTACAAATAATTTAGAATGTACGTATGAAAAGAGACCCAACAAAATGACGATAGTCGCATTTAAAAGTGGAAGCAGAATTACAGAGTGCACAGATGTGTTCAAAATATTTGGAGGATCTTGGGGTTGCAAGTTTGGACCGAGCGGCACTTTCATTTTCACAAAGGATGATCTGCGTTGGTCCTAAGTTGAAGGATTCATTCACGTGACGAACATGACCTTCCCGTGTTTCTGTGTTTGTTTTTCCAGCGTAACTCATCCCTTCTGATCTTATCTTCTCTTTAGTGCATCACCTGAAAATGACGTTGGAGCAATCACATGCTTCTTTTTTTAGTACTCAGACTATCTTTCCACCCGAATAGTAAGAAACTAATCTCTCAAAGTACTGATAGGTAGGCCGCTCCCAACTATGTTTTTTTCCCTGCAAACCGCTCAAAAGATCAAACTTAGAACATGATACCTGAGATGCTCAAATTCCTTCTGCTTAAATCAACACTTGATAGTAGCAATCAAATACTTCTAACAGTTCCGTTTCTTTCGTTTCATTTGGGCCAATGCCCCTAGACCTACAATCCAAAACCAAGGCGGTTGTACATAATTATTTGTGTTTAATTTTTAATAAATTTTACACCACTCATTCCCTCATAATCTTTGACCTTCAATCTGTCCAATGACTATATTAAATAGGTATAATTTTGCATATATTATATCATATTGATAAATAATTTATATTCAATAAATTTATTTATATATTTTTAAAATATAATTATTAGGAGTAAAGTAAAATTGATCATATTTTTGGAAATATAGACTGAAGGGCAAAGGAAAAAAACGAAAGCGGTGGTTGGGGAGGAGTTGGGTCTAATTGCAATTCTCTCTGAAGTCTAAAGAAAAAGGAGAATGGTTGATGGTATGGGTCTTGTTTGTAAATTTGCTGATGAATGAAAGAGGAAAGGAAGAAGCGGACTGAGACGCTCTGACAGGCTAAACTCGTTCATGCCTTGAACGAGTTTCGATCTTGTTAGAAAAAAAATATCAGACATGAAACTCGTTCTTCCCTTGCACGACTTCTTTGAAAATTTGAACTCGTTCTTGTGATGAACGAGTTTGAGTATAGCATTTAGGAAAATACTTTTCATAGTGGAGCATCATGGTAATTATTTTACTGTGTGTAGCATTTTGATAAAATCCCCTTGATAGTAGCAATCAAATACTTCTCACATTCTGTTTCTTTCATTTCATTTGGGCCAATGCCCCTAGACCTACAATCCAAAACCAAACATCCTCTACTCGGTGATAGGGCCTTCTTGGACACTTCTAACCAATCTCTTTGGGCCGCATTAGGCCCAACACTGACATTGGCAAAATGATGATGACTGACAATAACACTGATGGAAAAATTCCCGTAGTTTTAATTAAATTGTAACTCAGATTTTAAACTTTGACTCAGCACAATTTAATTCTTATAATTTTTAAATTTTAAAATTTAATCCTTAAATTTCATAAAATACATAAAAGCTGTTACGTTTTAGTCAAATTATAGAGACTAAATTATATTAAGTAAAAAATTGAGAAATTGAATTATAATTAAATTAAAATCCCTGAAATTTAAGTTTTTTTTTTTTGACCTGACCTGAAATTTAAGTTTACTCCTTCAATTGCGGCGAGCATAATGAGTCAATCGAAGCTCGTCAACACAGACGTCACTAACTTGTAAGTTGTGCTGACTAATCTGATTCTTTAATTTCACAAAACTATATGCATATGTTACAGCAAGTTGAATGTCTAATATAACCCCATCCAACAGTTTGATAACGATAAATTTTGGGGGTGAGGTAGATATTTGGCAGTCAAGTAAATGGTCAAAATTATTTGAATACTTCAGTACCTAAAAATGAGTGCTTAGACTTAAGATGAAGGACGGAATATTATATCATGTGAGAGAAATTAATACTATAAAAAAAATATTATAATAATAAACCAAGCGGGACTAAACCTCGTAATTGTTCATTCACAGTCATCCTTATGTGCTAATCAAACTTAAAAACTGATCAAACATCATTAGAGGAAGATTATAGAAGAGGCACATGAACATGATAGTAGCCCACCTTTTCTCTCTCAAATATTATCCGTCCTTTTCAGAAGATACGGAATCAAACTGATCTTAATAAATTATAATTTATTCGTACGACATACCATAATCTTCGCACATCACCCACCCAACCATGAACTATCACACACTTGCGAATTGATTTATTACTAATCCAGCATTAATCAATATTTTACACCAGAATTAGCGTTATCCTTTTTTAGGAGATAGAGATTCAGAGGTATTAAAAGGATCAACTAGCAACCATGAAGGGGAAGAAGGCCAAATTAAAGAGCTCAGATCTATCCACGGTTTTAAAGACGACAATGATAGTGTTCTTTTTCATTTGTTTTATCATGAAAAGTACAGAGATATCTCCCGCCCGCAAACAATAAGGACAATGTTTACGAAAACTAAGAATAAAGAACAATTAAACAAAGAGCATATCAACGTTATTTAAACTCGCAAAGTTTTAGAAATGCGTTGACAGGAGATCTGCGTTTAGATCCTTCTCCTCTTTTTTTTTTTTAATATATATATATATATATATATATGTATTGGTGCGTGCGTGTGTGTATGTATATTGGAAAACCAAG